AACTTAATGCAGGTTTAAACTCCTGCTAAAAATATTTGAATAAAGAGAATGTAAATCTTACGACTTTCTGTTCAAAATCCCACAGCAAAAATTAGAACTATTTATCAAGCAAAATACCAAAATTTCCACGAAATCAGAGGCTAAATGACATCCCAAAAAAAATAATATCAAGTCTTATGAAAACTTCTCAAATTTTATGACATGAATACGTGAACCTTCATCCAATCTATTCCTACAAAAATACTCGAAATAATAGAGGGAGTATTAACGGACTACCTCCTTCGGGAATTTACGAACAGGGCGAAGGAGATCGGATTTTCGAACCTCGAAAACAACGCTCGGCGGTCGTTTCTATAATAATTTTTTTTTTTCCTGCTGCGCAGGGCCGTCTCCAATATTTTTTGGGCCCAGAGCGAAAAATAAAATTAGGCCCCCCTAATTACAATATTGAATAATATATTTTTAATATTTTATTAATAAAATACAAATATTTAACGATACAACTAAAACAAGATGTCCTCGTACCCACAAAATACAACAAAAACAAGATTAATGTTCTAACATGAATGTCATTTAATATATTATTATATTTTTTATTTTTATTATTATATATATAATATTTTAATATTTATATATGGGGCCCCAATTAATTGGGGGCCCTGTGCAGATATATATATACATATACTATTAGGTTTTTATCTCTTGTTGTCCAAGACAACACAAACTCACACACACACACGCTAGGAAGAAAGGAAAAGGAAAAATCTGTCGGGCCGGGCCCGAGAAATTTGGGTCGAAAGGATTTTTGGCCTGTTGGGGCATCAAATCGGCTCACGGGCTCGATTAAAAATTTAAACGGATATTTACGGGCCAAATTCGGTTCTAACGAAATTTTATCGGGCTCGATTTCGAATGCAAACGCGCGATAAAAATGAACCGAAAAATAAATATATATATTTTACACATTATTACATACACATTTANAATAATATAAATAAAAAATATAATAATATATAGAAAGAGCCTTTTGTGTTTTGTCTATCCGGGGGAAGTTCTTTCCTACTTGAGAAGTGGAAGTTGTTATTAATAAAATATTAAAAATATATTATTCAATATTGTAATTAGGGGGGCCTAATTTTATTTTTCGCTCTGGGCCCAAAAAATGTTGGAGACGGCCCTGATTTGGTTTGATTTTCGATTTATAATTTCTTAAAATTTTAGTTTTCAATTCGGTTAATATATATATATGCTCGATTAACCAAACTGAATAAGAAAGAAATTATTTGTCTAAGTTACAAAAGCTCAATATTACCCAGCCCACGTTTTGAGGCAAGCAAATAGAAATGAGGCCCACCTAGGCACCCGCATGCCATCCACCCAGGCCCATTGTATTGCTCTTCATCCTCATCTTTGGTATTCTCCTAGAACTTAAACGAGTAAACTCATAAACTGAACTTATGTATACTGCACGGTCACAAGTCATAATTCTATCCCTTCTTGAAGAGTCCTCCTGTTCTCGAGCCCCTCTTTTGAGCCACCTTCTATCCCCTTCCTTCCGGCCCCATCCCTTCTATCCTCTTTTGAGCCTCGAAGGGTAACCCCGGAGAGGCAGGAGCAGGTAGCCTTGCCAGAGATCATAGAGGCAGACCTATTTTTGCGTTCCACGACTACATCGGAGATCAGACCAGCACCATTGCAGAGCTCCTTGCTGTTTGGAGAGCATTATCATTATGCCAGGACTTGACCTATGACCGAGTTTGGATTGAGCTTGACTCTGAGGTTGTTATATCACTCCTTACCACGACCCCCGGCGGCGGCTAGCGGGAAAGAGACCTCATTCAGAAGATCAGAGCTCTAACAGATAACCTTGACGTTAGCTTCTCCCACATCTACTGTGAGGGGTACAGTGCCGCCGACTACCTCGCAGGTTCAGCCTGCCGAGCCCGAGACTTTGTGCTATATGACGTCGCAGACCTACCTGGACCCCTTAGGGGCATCATCAGGATGGATTTAGAGTATCCCAGCATCATACGTCCTCATGACGACAGCAGAACACAGGGCTGACGCCCAAAATTTTAGCCACCCCAACACCTTTTCATTTGATATATATCTCCCATTTTCTTCTTTAAAA